CAGCTAAAGTTTTTATCATACTTCGGGGGCATGTATACCAACATAATAAAGAAAATTTTATGACAACCGGACCCTCCGAACCTGCGAAATTTAACAATTCCCGTTATTTTCTGAACACACCTTGTATTGTGGTACGTACAATAAAATGCGATTTAAAATTGAATGAATTACGACGACTGTTGCGGAAATTAAACAAACTAAGAAAACTCCATTCGGCTCAAGCAAATGAATAAAAGTTTTGGTTTTAATTATAAAAAAATGGAATTCAAATACAGAATATAAAGCAAATACTTTTTAGGAGTAAAGTAAAACAAAATTACGGAGCTGGAGTTACAAGGTATGTGTTAGGCTTTAATGAACATTTTTTGAATGAAGACAAAGGCTACAACTGTGTCGCTTTTTTTCAAGGCGAAATTATATTCCTGGTGGTTCTAATTTTAATTTTAATTTTGATAATAATTCAAAAAAAAATAATATTTTTTATAAATTTTGTCTTTAATTTGTGAACAGTGTGTATGATAGAGTAACAAAACTTTTAGTTTTTAAAGTTTTTCTATTAATCATAGTAAGCCATGAAAATGACATGTGACAATTTATTTATTATTTATTTACGTTCCCTTAAAACTAAGAATATTTGTAATGACTATAGTTTGTGAAGCATTTATAATGTTTAGGCCGGAACAGGATGATTTATATATATCTAATATTTTTTCGGGTGGTATGTTCCAAATTTATTAATTTTGTTGCCATTAGTTTTTTATGTTCTCTGTCATGCACTGTATTTAAATCACTTATTCTGCAAGATGTCCTTTGACGAAGAAATCACTATATTACTTACTCTCTAAAAATGAATTAGTCAAAAATTTCATAGCAAAAAGCAGCCACTAATAATTCTCGTCAACACAATTTGTATCCAGGATATTTAGCAGTCAATTCCTATGAAATATTATGCGCTGAATCCGAAAATGTCAAAAGTTATAAAAGTAGAACAGTTTTTGAAATATAATCAATTTTACATATAATATGGAATTGACTATATCTCAAAAACTGCTTAACTTTTATAGTTTTTGACGGTCTTTTCGGATTCAGGGACAATTTTACATAAGAATTGGCTGGTAAATGCCCGGGATATAAATAGAGTATGATATTGGACATATGTCCAATAATATATGTACAACTAATATCTCTTCAATTATTTACTAGATTTATTTTTTCAAATAAGGCAATTAATTTTTGTTGCTACATAAAAAATGAGCAAATCTCCATATTTAAATGTCAAATTTAATTAATTAATAATTTAATTTTTATTATTTTATCAAGCTATATAATAATTATAATAAAGGTTTAATTTATTATATTACGCAGTGACACATTAAAAATAAAACCAGAATTTATGATTTTTTTAGTATTACTTTCATTCTGTAGTCAAATGTTTGCCATGACTTTTAGCTTGGATGTTATAATAATGATTATAATTATTAACATAAATATGCCACTAAATTATTATCTTATCTTGTACTTTGTATAAATATTAAAATTTAATTTTACTACACTGAAAGAAATTTGTTGCTAAAAGTAAATACAAATTTATACTAAAAATTTTATACTAGTGCTTTACACATTTATACTACTGTTTATTATGAATGTATGTTAAATTTTGTAATACATTTATTGTAAAGAAGATATGTTAGATCTAAATAAAAATAAACTTACCCTTACTATAAAATGTAAATATAAGTGAATTACAGCAAAAAAATATTGCTAGAAACACATTTATATTGCTAGGGCAGCAATAGGCTGCTAACCAAACGAATATATTTGTTTTAGCAATGTATGTGGTAGTCCATATATGAAACATAAAATATATTTGCCCTAATTATTTTTTTATTTAACTTTAGTATATATTTCTTTCAGTGTAGCTTATAATATTATACAATATAAAAATATCTTTATTTATATTATATATGTTTGTTAATTTTTATTAAATCTGTCTATTTTTTAATAAATACAATCAAAATTAAACACTCTGTATACCAAATCCAATAGTCGAACCAATCAAATTAATAATTTATTAAACAAACGCATAACTACTATAAATTTATGATATAATGATATCAGTAGATAAATTATTAATAATATTATCATTTTAATGTGAATTAATATTAGATGTATACAATTCAAATATCATGCAATGGTTTTTAGTCTACCAAATTCCATAGAATATTTAAATGTATTATTCAAATTGGTAATTAAAATCAATAAATTATTTTAACCTTTTTGTATTATTACATAATTAATATTTATCTATGTACCTGTAGATATAACATATTTCCCAATTAATTTTATTAACAACAATCAATATATTTTAATTTTATGAAATTTGCATAAATTTGTTAAATTAAAATAAAATGTATGTTTTACACGTGTGAAACTATTGTAATCCAATTCTTTGTTTCTTCATATTTGCATAGGAAATTTAATGACTTAAAATGTTATTTTTGTAGGTTGACATATTTAATAATAATGCTAATGGGAAACTCTATTGTTCACTCTAAAATATGAGAATTAAAAATTGAATGGAAAACTGGGCAAAAAAGACAATCCACGTTAATTGTGTTTCAAGGGAGTTTGCTTTCTGCAGTTACTGTTGCAGTCAAACAAAAATAAACAGCAAATTTAATTATATCACTTTTTTGAATCGTAAGCACTGAAATTTTATCAAACCTGCCTTCATTATTAAATTTATGCAACTGTTTTAATTTTTGCACTTTTAAACTTCATTCTAATACTATTTTTTTTAATTATCAACATAACATAACGAGATCAAAATAAAATTATTTCTTTACTGTGACATCTAGAGTTTAAACATGTATTTGAAACAAATATTTATTTATTCGTCTACATTAATGTTGTCGCCTTCAAAATAGTCCCCATTTGATATTATGCACATGTGCCAGCTCTTCTTCCAATACTCGAAACACTTCTAAAACTCGATCTTTGGGATAGCCTTTAGTTCTTTCAGCGATGCGCTTTTAATGTCATCTATGCTTGCAAAACGACGGCCCTTTAAGGTTCTCTTTATTTTTGGGAATAGGAAAAAGTCAGACAGAGGCATGTCTGGCGAATATGGAGGCTGGGGCATCATTACAGTATTGTTTTTGGTCAAAAATTTTGTTCAAAATTTAACAATTTTGCTGCCACGCTTTTCATACCCAAAACATTCGAAAAATTTTCATGGGATGAGCCAATCGATATACTAACATCATCAGCGACTTCTCTGATGGTTTATAACCATTTCTTCAACTTTTTCCATGTTTTTATCGGTTGTTAATGCGCTTGTGCGTCATCTTCAACGTCTTCACGGCCATCTTGGAAACTCTTATGCCACTTGTAAACTCTTGTTTTACTTATAGCAGACTCACTATAGGCCTTTGTTAACATTTCACAGAATTATTTTCATTTTTTAAGCAAAATTGGTTACAAATTCTTTGATCCATTTCATTTAACGAACGAAAAATCGCCGAGCTCATAAAACACGTCTAAGCTTAGCGACTGCCACAGACAAAGTAAACAATGAAAACAGCTAAAGTTTTTATCATACTTCGGGGGCATGTATACCAACATAATAATCCCGTTATTTTCTGAACACACCTCGTATAATCTAAACAAGTTTAGAAAATGATTGCAAATACTTTTAAAGAAATTAAAATGGTCGATATTGTAAAGCGAACTTATTCATTCCAGAATCATAATAAAAGTAATACATCATATTCGTCATATCGGACTCTTCGAAGAAAAGCACTCTTCCCACTTTTTGACGATGACGAAGTAAGTAGAAAAAACGTTTTTCAAGGACCGAACGAAATGCCACGAAAACGACTTAAAGCGTGGCAGAACGTGTTTATCCCTTTTGGAATAATGGATTGGATACGACACTAGCTTTGACAAGTGGACAACGTGTTGATAATACTGGAAATTTATCGGCTCCACTGCTAAAGTCGTCCCAGATATTGAAAATAAAAGACTTTAAAAGAAAACACTTCTTGATCCTTGTAATACTTCTTGACATATTAGGGGGTCCCCTTTTTAAAGAGTTCACTTCAAATTTAAATTTTAAACAACTTATATAATAATACACTTAAAACAAATTTCTTATTTTAGTTTTAATAAACGTTATTTTCTTTTGCCAAGAATAAATATTTTTGAAATCGTGTAGGAGTGGAGATGCCGACACGTTCCTCTGAAGTTTGGCTCAATTTTGAATAATCCGTAAGTATTTAAATATAACGTTTTTCATTATTAAAATAAGTAATTTTTAGTTAATAGACATCATTATTTAAAATTTTATTGATTTTAAATACAAAATGATAGATTTTTTGAAACATTGCTAAAAGTAGCTTAAAATTAAGATAGATACATTTTATTTTTAAAGATACTTCTTGCATTGTATTAAAATAAATATTATTTTGTAATCAATGAAATAAATTTTAAAATCTTGTATCTATTAATTAAAAAAAACATTGGGTCATAGAAAACATCTTGATTTAAGAAAATTATTACCTTATTTCAATATCACATGTTTTTGTTTTAAGAAAATTTATTCTTAAATTTTTATTTAAGAATACCACTAATTTATTTTTGTGAAAAACATATTCTTGCTTTTAAGCAATCAAAGTTTTATTTAAAGAAATTTAATTTTCTTACATTAACAAAAGATTCTTGAAGATATGAGACAAAAAATGTTTTACAAGAATTTTTTTTTTTCAGTGTATATATTATATATAATATATATTTAAAATGCTAATCCATTATGCGTAAAAGCAGCAAAAAAATAAATGTGTACTTGAGATGAACAGCATTAGCATAAAACCACAAAATCAATGCATAATTTATAAGAAATTTATTTTAATATTGCAACATATATGTCAAACGTTTGGTATAAATTCAAACGATTTTATAAGATCACCATAAGTTGTACAACACTGCCAGATACAAACACAATGAAATTCGTAAGTTTTAATTGACCACGTAAATTGTTAAGCAAATGATAATTTTTTCTTCCAGTTCCTAGCTCTCGCTTTTGTGGCTGTAGCCTCAGCTGCCTCTTTGGGGTCCGAAAAAGATGCCCAAATCATCAGCCAGGAATCTGACATAAGCCCTGATGGTTCCTTCAAAACTTCATTCCAAACAGACAACGGTATCGCAGCTCAAGAACAAGGAGTCCTCAAGAACGCTCAAACTCCGGAAGGTGCCATTCTTGAAGTCCAAGGTTCAGCCCAATGGACTTCCCCTGAAGGTACCCCAGTGGCCTTCCAATACATCGCCAACGAAAATGGGTACCAACCACAAAGCGACTTGTTGCCAGTTGGTCCAACCCCTCCACCAATCCCAGCTGCCATCCAGAGGTCTTTGGACTGGATTGCCGCTCATCCCCAAAAAGAAGAACAAATCCAAATCGTCCAAAGGAGGTTCTAAGTTTATTGAGTGATTTAGTGTACAAAGTTTTGTTAATAATAAATCTGTAACATAAGAATTATATTTTTATTTGGGTTCAAATTATTCGTTCATTTAAAGTTATTTGATTATTCTTGCTGATATGAATCTCCACACATTCTGAAGCCTCAGTGAAACATTGTCAAATGTGTACTCAGTGATATGTTGAGACATATTGATGGTTTTTGATTCAGAGCCTAGATCCATCTGTAAAAATGGAAATGTTGGGTACGGTAGGCTAAGGTAGGTAAGTTGTAGCTTGCTACAATCTGGTCACAATCTGGTTTAGTAGTAGTAAGCCTAAGACACCATTTCAATGAACTTTCTTCTACGGCAAGGTCTAAAGAGGAATTGTTTAAAACTTCTTTCATGGCTTCTGACTGTTGCACTCTATTTGTTTTAAAGTTCCAAATATCTTCGACATTTTTAGAGAGCTAATTAAGTTTCCTTCTTCTGGTAAAGAGAATTAAATGATGCTATATTCTTTTACTATTTTTTGTTCAACTTAAAAATATTCAACAGTTATAATTGGAAACATAATTTACAATTTTTGATTGAATGCAAGGGAAGTGAAGAGTATACCAGGGTACATAATTTAATGTAAAATATAAGATTTATTGCAACTTTGAGCATATTATACATTAAATATCTTAAAATCAAATAATACCACACATCAGTGGCGGCTGGTGGATTTTGGGTATACCGATATCTAAATTATTAGATATGGGACCCACACCAAATTTATATGAGTTTATAATGACATTAAATTAACAAGTTCTGCACAAGCAGAATTTAAATTGAAGTTTGCTAAAAAAAAATAACCGAAACATCGAACATGGAACTGACGACACGGTACTGATGAATGGGATACAAATTTGAGATTATAATTCGGAATTAAGTATTTTACTGATATTTTTTATTAGTGGATGCTACTTATCAACAAATCACATAAAGCCTTATATAAATTACAATAAAATATATACACGTAAGAAAATAACTACTCACCACAGTACTGAAATTTTGACTGGAACTATACGTGCATTCACCACAACTTCGCCGCTGGCATTGTTTTCAAGATGACTGTCGTGCAAAGGGCGGGTAATTTTTTACCAACACTTGAGTTAAAACGAGGACTTGACGTTTAAACAATATTTCGCAGGAATTTTGAATTTTAACATTGGCCACAGAACTGACGGGTAAAAGTAACTACAAAAATTATCAATTTTTTAAAAATTGCTATTATTCGAATCTATGATAAAATATGAAGAATACATTATTTAATGTTTTATAGCTTGTAGTGAAATTTAAAAATTTAAGATAAATTGAATTTATTTTAAAATAAAATCACTCAAATATTTGATTCAGGAGTTGTGACACGCCAAGGTACTGAAGTTTTGAATATTATGTTTTTTACAAACGTGCTTTTGAAAAAATACATTAAAATTGGGTGGACAAGTTAAAAAACCTGGATCTTTTGTAATATACTAAAATATTTACAAAAAATATTAAAATACCTACTCTATTGACTGATGACATCAAGTTGTCCAACTTTTGTAGAATCACCCATATCATTAATATTTTAATTAATTTTTCGAATTACACTGTTTTGGTTATTCTTCGTTATTTTTTTCAAACACTCTGTATATTTAACCTTTTAAATTCTAATTCTAATATTAAAACAATAATGCTTATAGTAAATTATGTTTTTAATTAGATAAAAAGTAGTAGATGAGTTTATATGCAAATTTAAAAATCCAGTTTGTTTTCAACTCAATTATATAAAAAATCTGGCAATGAACTTTATTAAGTAAGTATCTTAGAATTGATTATACATATTATGCTGCAATGAAAGTGTATAACAGCTTACCATTGTTTAAACTTTTTTATTATGGTTTAATATAGGTTAGTACAAAATGAAATTGATTGATTTCTCAATATTATTAAATAATATAAATTATATCTTGGTATAACAGTTTTGAAAAATATATTCAGTTGCAGAATATTTTTTGTTTACTTATATTTCGTGTTAATGCAGCCATCTTGGACATGATGGTTTCTTATACATGAAATATTTTTTCCATTTACATAAAAATAATAATATCAACTTGCTAAAAGCAAATATGCTAAAATTTTGCCGTTACGAAATTGGCAGATGTTTTCACTTTTTTGCATATTTTAACTCTCCAAATTTATTGGGTAATATTTACTTATTTAATTAGTATTAATTTTTTAAACATGTATGCATACAACCCAAAATAAATATCAAACATTTCTTAAAACAGTTTTTTGGATGAGTGGTTATAGCTTTTTGTCGCAGATCTTTAATAGAATGAAGCTGAGAATAAGGCCACAGATTTTAAATGACCCATAACAAAAAGTCTAATGGTGTCAAATCTGAGATCTAGGAGGCCATTCTTCATTCATTATTAGTGGCTGTATTGTTTCATATAACATTTCAAAATAAATTTTACCATTCAAATTTTGATCAATAAATGAGGCACCAATAATAAATCTCCAAGACATTTTCTCTGATAAGATAAGGATTATAGAAGAATATAATATAGGGCAAAAATTAATGTACCCACATAATATATATTTAATATTTAAAAAGAAACACTTCATTGTCTTACGTAACAAATTAAATCTCAAAAGTATGTTACTATTACAAATAGAAACAATTAATACCAGACCCATTGATTTACTGATGTAACACACCTTTTATTAATAATGAACCTGTGACCTTCAAAGTCGTAGAAATAAAAACCTTGCCTAAAAAATGGCTGGAGGTGTTCAAAAAATATTACGTTTCATCATTGCAGAAAGAGTATAAATACCAAAATTTAACCTAGAAGAATCACAAGCAAACCAATCTTCACCATGAAAGCAGTAAGTAAAAGGTACATGCATCGTTTACGAAAATATTAATTTTAATTTTCAGTTCATCGCCCTTTGCATTTTGGCTGTCGCCTCCGCTGCTTCAATCTCCAGTGATAAAGAAGCTCCAATTATCTCACAGAGCTCCGACATCAGTCCAGATGGTTCCTACCAATCCCAGTATGAAACCGGAAACGGTATTTCCGCTCAAGAATCTGGAGTTTTGAAGAATGCCGGTCAAAAAGACGCTGAAGCTTTGGAAGTGCAAGGCTCCGCCAAATGGACTGCCGATGATGGTACACCCATCCAACTGACATACATAGCCAACGAAAATGGATACCAACCACAAGGTTCTCATTTACCCGTAGCTCCAGAACCACAACCAATTCCAGCTGCCATCCAAAGATCATTGGACTGGATCGCTGCTCACCCACAAAAAGAAGAACCTGGCAAAAAATACTAATACTAAACTACGTGATAAAAAATTGTAAAATGTTTGTTATATTTTTTTATATTAAAAATTAATTTCATACTAGCTATAACTGTTTTTTTTAATATCATGTTGTCGCCTTTAAAATAGTCCCCATTGGATATTATGTGCCAGCTCTTCTTCCAATACTCGAAACACTTCTAAAACTCGATCTTTGGAATAGCCTTTAGTTCTTTCAGCGATGCGCTTTTAATGTCATCTAAACTTGCAAAACGACGGCCCTTTAAGGTTCTCTTTATTTTTGGGAATAGGAAAAAGTCAGACAGAGGCATGTCTGGCGAATATGGAGGCTGGGGCATCATTACAGTATTGTTTTTGGCCAAAAATTTAACAATTTTAGAACAAATTTTGCTGCCACGCGTTTCATACCCAAAACATTCGAAACAATTTCATGGGATGAGCAAATCGATATACCAACATCATCAGCGACTTCTCTGATAGTTTATAACCATTTCTTCCACTTTTTCCATGTTTTTATCGGTTGTTAATGCGCTTGTGCGTTCGGGGCGTTCGTCATCTTCAACGTCTTCACGGCCATCTTGGAAACTCTTATACCACTTGTAAACTCTTGTTTTACTTATAGCAGACTCACTATATGCCTTTGTTAACATTTCACAGAATGTATTTCATTTTTAAAGCAAAATTGGATACAAATTCTTTGATCCATTTCTTTTATCGAACGAAAAATCGCCGAGCTCATAAAACACGTCCAACCTTAGCGGCTGCCACAGACAAAGTAAACAATGAAAACAGCTAAAGTTTTTATCATACTTCGGGGGCATGTATACCAACATAATAAAGAAAAATTTATGACAACCGGACCTCCGAACCTGCGAAATTTAACAATTTTTGTGGGTTTATACAGATTGTTTAAAGTTTTCTACATCGAAAATTCACGGTGTTAGTCAAACATTTATTAACAAAGCCTAGCATTCAAGTTCAGTTTAAACCGCAAGATTATATGAAGAATTTTGAAAATGAAGGATTGTAGCTAATTAGTTGGCATAAACTTTGCAAGAGCGTCATTAAAATTTTAACTTTACTGACTAAATGCAGTATAAATTTACAGCGTTAAAGATTGAGAAGATTTTGGGGCTTTCTAATGTTATTTACTTAGCATTAGTAGTTCATGTAACTTATATAAGACCCCCATTAGCATTTTACAGTCATAACAAAGTTTATTTAAAAAATACTATTTGAAGTTTGCATAAAACAAATAAAAAATATAGGCAACCAAGATTACAAGTGGATGTGCTTTCTGGGTTGCCTACCTACATTCAAATAAATACATATTACTTAACTAAAGAAATTTAATATCAATACAACTTTTATTTTTTCAGTTATTCGCAAAAAGAAAACTACACTATAAAGCAGACATACAACGATATTGGAGTTTTGTTTATTGTAAACAATTTCAGCATTCAGTAAAACTTGATAGAAATCAATTTCGTACTTACAGATAAATTGAAAATATGTTTATGTAAATAAATTGAATTGGATTGAAACGATTTTTTCTAAAATGGTTTCTGAAAATGACAATAAATAACTATAAAAGACAAAAATACAAAATAATTTACATGCTGTTATTGTTATACCTGAGAATTTGTTGACTTATTTAATGGGGCAAAAATTTCAGCCATAGCACTTTGGCATGTTCAGTCTGTACAAATAACTTTAAGGAAGATGGTTTGAAAACGATAAGGGTTGAGGCAAAATATTTTAAGAGACCGCCTTAACGTAAAATATTCAATTGGATTTTTCGTTGGAAATTTCAGTGAAATTTCAGCTTGATGCATTATACACCCGACAGAAGTCGTAAAAGAATGTGCAAAAAGGAAAGTATTTTTTAATATTAGACAAATTTCATCAGTAGAACAGTAACTTTATTCACTAAGAAACATTGGAAATTGACCATACACTGAAAAAAAAAGATTTCTTATATTTAGAAAATATTTTTTTAATTCAAGTCAACTTGCTTTAAAATAAGAATATATGGTTCAACTAAAAATATTTAACTTCTTTAAAAAAGAATTTTGTAGTTTTGGAAATATTCTAATATTAAGAAACATTTCTTGTTTTAAAAAGTTGCATGTTTTAATCCAAATATTGAATAGTCGGTTTCTTGGTAAAATTGTTAATATTTTCTTTTGACAAGAATACATATTTTTTAAATTGTGTAGGAGTGGAGATGCCGACACGTTCCTCTGAATAAACTTAATTTATTTTATGACATTTAAAAGATTTTGTTTTAGAAGTAATTTTGTGTACTTTGTGGTACCTATAACATTAATTTTGATTCATATAGGGTGGCAATAGCCATAAATTATTTTATAAAATTAGTAATTGCTTTTCTACTATGCCTAAAATATATTTAATATATTACAAATTATTTAATATATTACAAATTAATATATTAATTAATATTTAATATACCTATTACAAATTATTTAAAATGAAAAATATGTCGATAATAATGATTAAGTTTCATACGTTAATTTATAATAATGTATACATTTTAGATTTTTCTTGTATCAAAAACAAAATAAATGTGTTTGTATTTTATTTTCTAACCTATACAGGGTGTTATGTAATTAATGTTATATATTAAAATGGGTTGTTCCTTAGGGTCCATAAAGAAGCACCTGAAACTTTTTTTTCTAAATTCCAAAGTCTAAAAATAATTTATAATAACCTTTATCCTACCAAAAAGTACGCCATTGATCGACTAGGAACTTTAGGTTAATCTGGTTATTATGTTATGGTTGGTAACAGTGTTTCCAAAATCTCTCAAAAAAGTTGACAAACATTGTTTAAATTTAGCTTAATTACAAAAATGACAAAATTAACAATGCAAATTGTCAATTTGGCGTTTTTATTAATTGTTGGTTATTCCATTTTTCTACTGAAGGTAAATTCAAACAAAATCTGCCAACTTTTATGACAGAATCTAGTGCATTTCTTTTAAATTTTAGGTTATGTTTTCAAATTGTAAATATCTTAGCCTTCTACTGGTGGCGCACGGCCTAACAGGCCCAAGCGATCTTATTTAGCGGATTATTATGAAAATAATTAAGAAACAACTCTGAATTTTTCAGTACCTTCCTAACTTTTTGCGTAGAAAGGTGTAGTGCAATGTTTATTTACTTACAGTTCTAACTTAAAAAGTTATAACCTAAAACGGCCTGAAAGGCCGGGCGCCACCATTTATGTTATAAGTACGACTATTTTGGGGTATATTAATTATTTAGCATATTTTTATACTTTATTGAATAGTTTATTCTACCAAATATGGTCATATTTTATGGGCTAATGAATGTGGCTGGAATAAATGCCCATGTATTACTTGCAAGTAATACACACTGCTAATAATTCAAATTATTAGTGCGAAAGCTCTTGAAGAACGGCGCTATGTCCTAGTAAAAGCATTTGAAACGCCGCGCCGTTCTATGGAACAAAATTTACCAACTGAGGTACGTCAAAGGCGACAAGAAGTAGCTGGGACTTCTACCGATAATGTTGAACCTCAACTAATTCCCCCTGGGACCAGAAAAAGGTGTGCAGAATGTCGCATAGAAAGAAAGACCACACTTCATAGCCAAAAATTTCTATGTATGACCCATGCCAAAATTATGTGTCATAATTGTGTGGAAAAAAATCAAAACCACGTTTAATACGATATTTTGTTATTCAAGCTTATAAACCATTTGTTGTTTTTTGTTAGAATAAATTTTTTATTTAGTTTTTTGTGAAATAATATTATGTCACCTTATAATCCTGTCCCCATAAAATTAACCCCATATTTCAAACATATGAGGTTTTTTTGTTAAAAAAAATCAGTGACCTTGGTCACAATAGGATTAAGTAATAAATTAAAAGTAAAAAATTCACAAAGAAAAAATACTAGCATAAATATGATTTTTTTTAAATTTACGGGCCTGACAGGCCGGGCGCCACCACCAATGTTAAATATAAGGCGCCACTACTACAAGGCTAAGGGAAGTGCTTTTGGATTTATTTACACAAATTAAATGTTTAACCTGTGAACTGGTCCCAATTTCATCTGAGTAAACAGAGAAAAAAACTGATGAAAAAATTAATTTTGTGGTTATGGATTTCAAATTTCAAAGGTACTAAATTTTCTAATCATTGCTTAAGCTAATAGCTGGATCAGTAAATAAATACAGAAGGGTATTAGAGCTTTAAGGGCATAAAACTTTTGTATTTATTGAGTTTTTATTTATTTTTTGCAAGAAAAATTTTTAGTAACAATTTTTTACATCTGGCAACGCATAGCTACTTTGTTGGTTGGTATCTATGTACATTAATTACATAACACCCTGTATTTTTCTATTGCAGTAATATTCCTAAATATAAAAATGTTTTTATTATTAAAATAAATAATTTTTAGTTAATATACGTATCATCATTATTTAAAATTTTATTGATTTTAAATACAAAATGATAGATTTTTTGAAACATTGCTAAAAGTAGCTTAAAATTAAGATAGATACATTTTATTTTTAACGATACTACTTGCATTGTTTTAAAATAAATATTATTTTGTAATCAATGAAATATAATTTTAAATCTTGTATCTATTAATTTAAAAAAATATTGGGTTATAGAAAACATCTTGATTTAAGAAAATTATTGCCTTATTTCATATCACATGTTTTTATTTTAAGAAAATTTATTCTTGAATTTAAGTAAATATTCTTGCTTTTAAACAATCAAAGTTTTATTTAAAGAAATTTAATTTTCTTACATTAAGAAAAGATTCTTGAAGCAACAGTGTACAAACATTTTTAGTTAAAACTTTTAATTTAATAGAGATGGGTTACAAGGTTATTTGTTGACATTTACCAGGATAAAAATGATTATGAAATTATTAATATAAAATTAACATTTTTATATTTAAATACATACATATATAGTTTTGAACATATTTCATAGTATTTTAAACTTATAAGTTTATATATATATATATTTATGACAAATCCGAGCAGTATCGATATTAAACAGGGAGTGACTTTTAAACTTTTTTCCTT